TAGTCTAACGCACATAGTGAATTCTGGCTGATCACTGCGGGTTAACATATCTTGTCTTGACAGCAACACTGTACAGGAGAAGGATTCACGGACAAGAATTTAGTGAATTGGCAAAGCGCATAATACTTTTCGAAGAAAGCATTATTAAACTCTCACAATGATCTATGCCATCTAAAGAAAAGATAACATTTATCAATGAAAGAATTAATGAACACTCTCAAAACACACAGTGCTGACATACCACTGGAACATCAACAACACAATACAGGACAAAGAAGTTTCTAACCTTACCTTCGTGCTGAAACGAAGAATGTAGTCAAGAGCTCGCGTTGTTGCCAAATTTTTCAGAAAACAATGAACCTCCTTGAACTGCGGGATATGCACATCGGCATATAGTATAATTTTCTTGCCTCCTGAGTTTTCCTTGAGAAAACGGTGATCGACGGAGTATACTGCAGGAGGTTTCCTAAATGCAACATTACTACCGGGTAGAAACAATTTAACTTCAAAACAAGTAGTTCTATAATTATCATCATGACAAATGACACTATGTTGTTAAATCAGGCGCAGCATGAAGCCTATGAAAAACAGGCAACATTGGCAAAATCCGGGCATCCAGTGTACTGAAATAAATGCCTGGTGATGAATTTATTAATCTAAGTGGTCTTCTAAATATCAGATCAAGTTATATAATTCAAGATTCACAAAACGTTGCATGTGAAATCCTCGATGCCAATGCATCATCACTTTCTAGTGTAGTACCTTTTGCTCCTCCAAGCTCGTCGACATCCAGTTAGTGTATTACCCAACTTATTACCTAGCGCATTACATGACATATTATAGCAACATATATAACTCCATTACCTCTAAAAAAGTTTTCAAAATCTGCCGATCCTCCAAGAAGTGATCACAATCAAATTACTTGCTTATTTTGATTGTTACACATTAGCTGTTGCCTACTGATCAGTCCTTTCATCCTTTCATTTTCATGACCTGCGACTTGGTGAAGTGTAAATTTGCACCGAAAGTCAGGATAAACTTGAGTATAAATTTGCTATTTGTTTTCGCTCAATCCCAAACTTTTGTTAATACGCAGAACACAAACAGCTTGTCGACAATCATCGAAATTATTAGGCATAAAAAGTACTCTGAAGATAAATCTAATAAACGAAAATCAGGTTGCATGATTCAGCGATAAAAGTTATTTTTTCAACCTCCGTGCTCTGAGCATCTTCACACAGTAATGTCACGGAAAAGTCTGTCCTGGTCTGATAAAATAACTTAAAATGAGCCGAAAAATATCTTCAAAATAATTCTGGGGGAAACTACCTACTGACAACATACGCTTTGGAGAACAGTAACAGACGTGGAAACACTTAATGGAGGCAGGGCAGCTTCTAGTGAAGAATAAGACCTTTGCCTCAGCAGTGAATTTTGTTTTTCGCTATTAGATTTCTGCAAACAGCTCAGACACCACGGTCTAACAAACTTTGGCTATCCAAGCTTTGTCAGCCTTAACTGACAATTACAACTACCAGGACAATAACAGCAATGCAACAGAAGCAGGAAATTCGTTGGCAATATACAGAAGTGACAGAAAACAGAGGACAGGATAAAGGTGTTCTTCCTTGGCATGAAGTCCACCACAAAGACACTGTTGAATATTCTTAGGCATTTGAAATTTTCGTGACGGTTGACTGCTCTTTTCAAGCAGAATCATGCAGCTTTTCATGGATTAATTATCGAAAATCACAAAACTGCTCCGTTAAGTTGTACTTAATCAAAATGATTAATCTCGAGACTTAAAATTTTTGCTCACTGATGATGAAATAAAATTAGTGACAAAACTATCTGGTTAGGACAGCTGTCTTTAATGCACGCACTATCAGATATTGCAGACGTTGCCCACCCACTCCGCCGTTTCGTTTTGCTCAAAGTGACCGATTCAGATGTTTCTCTGACAGTTCATCAAATCTGAACCTTCTTCACTGGGAGCATGAATGCAGCCTAGATCTGCTTCATGGCATTGCTACATTCGACGGTAACTTGAATTTGCATAGCGAAATCACAATAACAGCGTGTACATACAGTCAAAAGCTTAATATGGTCATAAAACGTCATAAAACGCTTACTCACCAATCACCATCAGCCGACAGATGATCTTCTACGTGTCTGATGTCACACGTCTTCTTTCCGTTGACGTCAACAATGTAGCTGCAGTCAAAAGTGCCTACTTCGATCGTGGCTATCTGTTGCTGCATTTCAACCGCCGGCGAGTAGGCACGCAGAGCTAGCGAAAACTTCAACAGATCGAGCTTAGTCTGTGACCCCAGAAGAGAGGACGCAGCCCGCATTGCTAAATTATAATCGTCTTTGTCTGTACCTAAATATAATGGCTAAAAACTTTAATGCAATATCACTGTTTCGTCGTTACTGTTGGCCAGCGCTTGCGGATCTTCTAAAACATTGTCCAGAAACTGCCAGAAAAGATCTGGCTTCTCTTGAGACATGAACTCACTAAAATAAACAATCGCATAAAGAATTTCTTCATACGCAGGAATCTACTGATCTGGTTATAACACACCGCTGCAACAGTCGAATTGCTCATTAAGATATCGTTCCAGAAGTATAGTTCTTAAACAAATCCTGTGGCAAATTATTTCAAAAACGAATCTTCATAATATACACGGCAATACGGCTTCCCTGCGTCAATTTCTAGGAATTTTGTATGCCTTATAATTAAAGAAATGAGTTTATATTTCACACTACTCGGATTTATGCAAAGCAAAGGCTCCATCATAATGCCTTACAATGCAGACGCACAAGAGAGCGTCAAGAAGCAACCCGAATGACTGTCGAAGCCATTTCACAGAACTGGACAAATTGGTAAACTGATCAATCAATAATGGCCTGATATTGATATACTCAATGTTCATTTAGGACAAGAAACAACCTGAACAATGCGTCTATTACATCGACTAACATAAATGCTGCAATCCACTGCCTTCATATTTCGCCGCCTGAAAGCAGTTAATTACTTATGAATAACAACAAATGACAAGCACATTTCTGGAGGGGAATGGGAGACTATCTCAACAACGCGGCAAGTATGCTCAGAAACGATTCATATTTCTTACTTAGTTTAGATCAACTAGCTGTGCATCCTAACATAGATTGAAGTTTATGCACTGCCACTTCATTCTAATCATCACGTACGCTTCACCGGCATTCTTTGGAGCTTTGGCCATGAGCACTTTATCATTCTGCAACGCTAATATAGCTTCGCTGTCAGAATAGAAGGCTGCACTACGAAAAGGTGGTACAGCCCACAATCAGTCACATGATGACTGCGACAACAATGCAGGTAAAAGGTACTGAATATCTTTGAGCAACAGCTATACCCAGACGTTCTGCGTCGTTAAAAGTCAATAGCCACCAGTTAATCGTACAGGCTAGCAGCAAGAACCGAAACCTACAAGAAGTATGCAGTCCCCCATACGGACAGAATACTTAACTGCCTCCGCGATCCGAAAGGAGAAGAGGCGATGGAAGATGATGATGATAACCAAAAAAACGTCCATCCGTCTGCATGACTTCGTTAACTTAGTTAACTTAGTGTAATAGACATCAGCACAAGTTGCATTCTTCACAGTAGCTACTTTATGCAATCACTGCATCACTGTATGTCCTTCGCACACGGTAATTTCCGTGCTGCATAACGAAAAGCATAAATATAATCTGCTGAAAAACGTGTTTTCACTGAGTTCACTAAGAGTGAGAGTCTTCTCTAAGTTCGTAGCTTATTCAAATCTGAACTACAAAAAACCGCGCCAAAACACTGGCCTGCACCAACTACTTATAGTTTCTCTAAAACCTCGGCCAGTTTTTATTAGTTTAGCAGCAAATCTGTACACCAAAATCGACTATTTGAACATCAGATTCTGCGACCTCCTAAGGACGTAAATAAAACTTCTTGGTTATGCACATAAACGAATCTCTTATTTGTCGGTGAGAACAAACAACACTCACAGTGGTACAAATGTCATTAAAACTTGGGAGGTAAAAGGAAAGTGCACGGGAGCACACTTTCCGAAAGTTCGATATATTTTTTATACTTGTTCATTTTAGGCATAATATTTCAGTGAAACAATGGCTGAAAATATGTAGAAACAAACACTAGAAAATGTTTTCGATTCTGGGCCAACTGCAGCTAGTTATAGACAAAGTTCTGTCTGCTGATGCGACAGCGAAACGCGTTGGCAATATGACTTATCATTAGCTTTGCTCTGTGATGCCAGAGGTAAATCAACAAATTAACTACACGTGCAGAAACAAGTATAATAAATCAAATACTGATCAAATTAGGCAGTGCAATTAGACGTGCGAGGATGTCGGTAAACCAAACGAGAGAGTGGATTGAATAACTTGTACTGCTTAACTGGATGAACTCTGCTTTTATCAGCATAAGCAACGTATGAACAGAAAAATAAAACATTAAACAAGTAACCTCGCTTCTAAAAGTAGAGATGTCGATGGCCATTTTGAGTCCACAGATACAATAACGCTTTTCTGCGATCGCGTCGCGAACGTAAAACGCACCAAAAGGAGCGACAGCAAAACTGCCAACTTCATTAGCATTCCTCCTAAAAGCAAACTCACTGTTTAAAATCTTGTTAAATAATAGCAATACGATGTTATAAGTAAGCAATTTATAATTTTTCGGTTTCACGCTTCACGTGAAATAATTCAATTAATTTATAATTCACGTTTCTTCTGCTGCCAACTATGAACTCAAAAGACCTCTCACCACAAAGCAATCTATCTGTTTATCATTTATTTAATTATATACACACATGGAAAGCAACCAAAAATCAGAATCTCGCTGGCTAACTCGCCTAACTTTGCCCATCGCTTCAGCCTCGGAAGATGCTCTAATGCTGACGTATACGAACACACGCATAATACGTTTATAGAGAACCTTGCACTGACTGTGTATAAGGAACTGATTGTCAGGTATTAAAAGAATTATTTGTAGCAATTAAATATGGCAACATACAACAGCATATTTTTCGAATAATTCTTCAGGTTTCTGATCCTGGGCCTACGGTTATATTTGGTAGATGTTTGAACGATTCATGTTTTAAGGCACCAAACACAACAGATGGTAGATCAGTTTGTTGCGGACTCGTTTCACTACATAGACCGTGGTAGCATGAGGGCCAGGATAAATGCGAATGGCTGCATGAAGGCACTTATGTTCAACAAGCGAACAATACTTCACAATCAAAGCGCTATTAAACTGACCAGTCAGAATGTTAGCCAACAAACAGTGTGGAGTTATTATTAAAGCATTCTCATCAGTTTTGAAATCGTCCCCCCAGCTTT